AAAAGCTGCCATCCAAACTGACCAATCATAATCTAGTTATAGTATTTTATATAACAAAATCGCTTCAGGAAATTTTGGAGAGATTTTTGTATACAAGCAATTTTCCTGTGAAGGGTATTTAAGCTTCGGTTTAACCGAAGTTAATATTTTTTTTTTGTTTCTTTTTTTATTTATTTATTTGATTTTCATAACTAAAAATGTTTACTCTACCAAAACAATTACGCTCGCTGACTTGGCAAGTCAGAATGTGTGAGTAAAGATATTTATATAAAAGAAGCTGTTGCACTACTATTTTCATGAACACAACTGTATGTACGTAAATGTATGCGTATACTTTATGATGCAGAAACAGAAACTTCAATTCAATGCACGTAACTGTTAATAGAATTTATAAACATATTTATATCATAGAACACGCAAATGAAATTCAAAGTAAAAGCATATTTATATATGTATGTACGTCTCTACCTGGCTACCTGTATACTATAATGAGGCAAATATACATTAATGAGCGGTTTTAATTGACTCTGTACTAGGAAGTAAAAATGTTAAACATCAACGTTCTTTGTTAAAAGTATTTCTAACAAAAACAAAAGTTTTCAAAACGCGTAAACAAAAAATTAGAATTACAAAGGTATGTACGTGTATATGTATGCATATGACGGTTTCTCCGAATACGCAAATGATTTTTTACATATTTTGGGAAATACCTATTTATATTTGTTTGCAGATAACTCCAAATAATTTATTTAGCTGAAGAGCAATTTCTTATATAAATATTTACGCATTAGGGTGACTCAAAACAGATTTATTTACTCGTTAGATGACTTGATAAGCCGAATGAAAAAAAAAATCATTGTTGTAGGGAATTTTGATTTAATTGAGGTTTTATAGTCAAGTCTTTGATTGCCATAATTTGAATCTAAAACTCGGCCATTACGAGTTTAAAATATTTCTTCCCAGAAATTTCAGAATTTTTTTTGTTAATAATGTATGTTTGTAACAATNGGGAACTTGTGATTGAATTTTTAAGGGTTAAAGACGGTTTATTTTGATTTTTGGCAAAACAACGAATCTTATAGAAATATAACAAGAGTTGTAGGCAATGAATAGATCTACAACTTTTGTATGAACACCCTTTTCACATAACCTTAAAATTTATGTGAAAAATTTCAAATATTCAAGTTTTTGAAATTTCTAAAGGGTAATCCATTTCGATGCTCCCTACTTAAAAAAAGAAGAAACTTTAAACTTAATTTGGAATGGTTATTATCATTCGACAGAATATTGTTTGGTGTTTTTTTTTTTGTTTTTTTTTTTTTTTTTTTTTTTTTTTTTTTTTTTTTTTTTTTTTTTTTTCAATTTTGTTTTTTACACCAGGAAACCCATGTTACGTTGTTTTGCATTTTAGGTGTCAATATTTGGTGTATAAATGATCAGCGTAACGCGCTCAGTCGATTATACGCGATCTAGTTACTCAGTTCATGAGATATCGTTCTTCATCTTTGCACATGTTCTTTTCTCACCAATAAATTGCTCATTTGCCGGTATCACCGATATCGGATCACTATAGCATGCAGCATTCCACTACGGAAAACCTGAAGAGATATCTTCACGAAATTTCGCATTGATTATTGTCAAAGTCAATGCTACAATCTACAGAGAAGTTGTTTAGATCGGACTACTATACATTTTGACTAAATTTTGGTTAAAATACTTGAGTTTACAGAGTTAATGCCCAGCGTATATCTACAAACCTAATGTTTATGTGTAAATATATACAAAATGTGAACTACAAAATTGAGAGACTCACTTTGAGCTCTGCATCCATAACTGGGCGCTATTTCTCTCTAAAAGCTAGTTTAAATTTAGTTTGTTATTTCGCAGTTTTTGTTGCTGTAATTTTTTTGTTTGAAAGCTCCGCTTGTATCAACAACAGTTTGGCACTCTTATTTTTAGTTGGTCGGTGTATTTTCATGTTGGTGAACACGTACTTAAACCTTGTTCGGAGCGTGTGATTTGTGAATCCATTTAACGGTGGGGTACAAGAAATCGTTTATTTACGAAGTAATAAGTATTAGCGACAAAATGCTGTGGTCTACCTTAGTTTCTGGCCTAACCATTCAGTTATTGGTCTTGGCGGTTTTGGCGCTGGATGTCACACAAGTCGGTTAAACCTCAAATTACATATGTACATATATATATATATATATGTATATATATGTAAATATATATATGTATGTCACATGTGCATAATTAATGTTTGCATATATATTCGTTTGTGCAGTTTCCAGATGACAATCAGCATTTCAACCGGACATTGGTGGGTATTATGCGACCCAGAGTGGTGGGTACGCCTGGCCACAAAGAAGTTGAGAAGTTCATAAAAAGGTGATTGGTTCGCTTACCTTTTCATTTATTTTATATTGTATATTACTTTCAGTGTCAATTTTCGGCATGATGTTTTCAATATAAATATTATGAATCATGAAACCTTATATGTATCTGTAGGATTGTGTTTTTTTTTATGCTCTCACAAGAAGCTGCAATAATTTTAAAGTTAGTTTGATCCAACGCGTTTTCATGACACTCTTACAACTCTGTGACAAAATTAGTTATAAAGCTCCCCTTCCATAAAGAGACAAAAGAGATGCCTTCCATGTTGTTGGTGGAGAATGAATGCCTTAATGACGGTCTTTATTCGAACGAAACGCTCCGGTTAGGTAAAGAAATTGCAAATAATAGGAATTCGATAGGCCCTTTAACCGGATCATTTCTACGACAATCGGAGCTAAGTAACTGGAATGAGTTTTTATTCGGTCAAGGACTGTTAACTGGGTGATCTGTGAAGATACATATTACGAAATAAAAAATGTGTCCATACAAGAACTTAATTTTGATTGATCAATTTATATGTCAGCTATATTCTAAAGTGGTCCAATATCTACAGTTCCAAAAAATTAACACCTTGGGAAGAAAAGTACGTAGCGAAATTTCACTGATAACCTAGTTCGTTACAGACAAGCGAACATGACTAAATCGATTCAGTTCGTGATGCTGATCGTTTATACATATACTTTATAGTGACTCCGACGTTTTCTTCTGGCTGGCAAACTTAATGAAAATTAAAAATAATATTCCCTGTACCGGATACAAATTACTCCATATAACGAATGTTTTCGAACCTTACAATTTATTCGGTTTATTTCGGTTCTATCCTAACAAATCGCTTTCATAAATGTCATTTGATTACTTGTTTATTGCATTTCTACAGGGAACTAAATACACTCGGCTTCAGCACAGAAGTTGACCAGTTTTCCGAAAGGGTCCCCATTCTCGGAAATGTTACTTTCACGAACATTATTGGTGTCTTAAATCCCAGCGCTCGCGATTTTTTGGCGCTGGCTTGCCATTATGACAGCAAATATTTTCAAGATGATCCCGGTTTTGTGGCAGCTATAGATTCTGCAGTGCCTTGTGCCACTATGTTGAATACCGCTAAGACATTATCATCGTATCTTCTGGGCAATTTCAAAGATCGCAGTGATATTGGATTAATGGTGATATAGAAACATTTTAACGTTTAACAATTATAATAAAAATACCAACACATTTTAGTTGATATTTTTCGATGGTGAGGAAGCTATAAAGGATTGGTCAGATACTGATTCGATATATGGATCGCGTCACTTGGCAGCCAAACTGTCGAATACACGTACCTCGGGGGGTCTAGGGCGCAGCATTGATCGAATTGTGAGTAATTGAAAACTACTTCCACTTGAATATCGAACTTATTCATTTACTTTTATATTTTAGGAAGTCTTAGTGCTGCTCGACTTGATTGGCGCTGCCAATCCAAAATTCTACAGTTTTTATCCAAATACTTATGGCTTGCATCATAGCTTGTCGGAAATTGAATTGTCTTTGTCAGCAGACAAGAAACTTGAGGGAAAGAATCTGATGTTTATGAGACGCCCATCAACCGGGTTCATTGATGACGATCACAGGCCATTTTTACAACAAAGTAAGTTGAGATTTTATTAATCTAAATTCTTTGAACTTACTTTGTTTATATACGTAACGGCTTTTATTTGTTTTCTATTTTTGTGTTTTTATTACAGATGTGCCGGTTTTACATCTCATAACAACACCGTTTCCACCACAGTGGCACACACCGAACGATAATGCGGCAAACTTGCATTGGCCATCGATTCGTAATTTTAATAAAATTTTCCGTGCTTTTGTCTATGAATATTTAAAACGTCATAAGGAACAAGTGAACTTGCGAACAGCTTTCCGTTAAATATTTTATTACTTTGTTCAATAATAAAAGTCAGTTCCATTGTAATGAAAATAACTTAAATTTGTTTTCTTTGATTATTTAATTTTCACAGTGAAGCAGCTTTTCATCAATAAAACAACAGATTTCTTTCAATATGACCGACATATATATGTATTATGAGTATATAAAATGTTTCTGGTTTAAAATATTATGTTTCTGTTATAAATTTATCGTATTCTGTTTCTGTTTACATTTCAGTTATATATCGTTTCAATAATGCTCAAATTCTTATGTAAACGCATGAGTTAGGGAAGTTCTATAAATAATGATCACTTTTAAAGATACACTATTTACAAAACTTGCAGATTTTTAAATTAAAATTATCAAGTGTATTTTAGTATTACAGAAAACCCTACTATTCAAACTAAATGCAACTTTGTATTAACAAGGTGCTTACATTACTGATTTATGACACATTGAAATTGAGAAGCACATATTTTTACTCAAATAAATAATCTGTGAGTTAAATTATATGTAAATAGACAATCAAATGAATTTAATAATTCAGTATATAAATATTAAGTATATTTTTGTTATTTTTTCTAAATATAAAAATGCAAATTTAGAAGAATATTACTTTATATGGCGAACAATTAATGAACGCCAGTGTAAGCTGTTGTCAACGTTTTTATTGATGACGTCATGGCGTACTTAGCAACCATTTCCAGTGGTTTTATTTTGGTACTGAGTTCATGACTGGTTTTGTTGTGTTATTTTTAGGCATTTTGTGATCGGCGAATTAGCAGAGCAAAATAAAGATTCTTTTGGTATTGAATGTGTGAAAATTCGGGTAGGTCTTTATGACCATTTCTATTAAATTGTAAAAAACTAAATTGTGCCAAACGTTTAACTATATGTGAAGAGCTGTCCGAACCAGTTTCGCTATTACATTTCAGAAAATAAATATAAGCTAGGTAAAAGTTGCTACCAGTTGACGTGTATATCAATTTTTTTAAGGTTATGGTTGTTTGATGGTCGCGCGGAATGAGACATCTCTATGAAAATTTAGAATTTAGAAAAAGTGAATTATAATTGTAACAAATTTTATAATTAACGCCTAATTTCTGCAAACAATATCAACAGAATTCTTGTGAAGAAACCTCCCACGGATAACCAATGAAGCAATTCTTATATTTTCCTTAGCGTTTGTTTTTTGTATGCGTGTGTTTAAGACCAATCAAAGTTGTATAATTATCCAATGATCTACTAAACTAAAGTTCTTATGTGATTTCATTTATTATTTTAATACATTAATATGTGTTTTATTCATTATTTAACATTGCTTACATAAATAGTTATACGCTCTAGTTTTTAGATATAGAAAATATTTATTACTGTTCATATAGAATATACATTTTTATAACAAATTGCTTACATATTAGGAATAAGATGAATTTGCTATTGGTATTTCTGCTAATATTGGCTGTACGACTTGCATCGGTGTTTATAGTCCAAACGTTCTATGTGCCGGATGAATATTGGCAAAGCTTGGAGGTGGCCCATAAATTAACTTTTGGGTAAGTTCGTTTTAATTTAGAACTAACTAGTAACATTTGGAAATTTCTCAATATATGCTAATTTAAACAGATATGGATATCTAACGTGGGAATGGGTGCAGGGAATACGCAGCTATGTGTACCCATTATTGATAGCAGGTGTTTATAAATTATTAGCCTTACTAAATTTAGATACGGTACAGTTATTGGTAAGTATGATATTTTTCTAATTTATCCTTATATAAAACTAATTCTGCAATTATAACTTTTAAGATAATTGTACCGCGCATACTGCAGGCCACATTGTCGGCGTATTCAGACTATAGATTCTTTGTGTGGTCTGGTAAAAAGAAGTGGGCGTTGTTTTTAGTTCTTGTGCCGTGGTTTTGGTTCTATATCGGTTCACGAACTTTATCAAATACCCTAGAAACATCACTGACCATGATAGCTTTGAGTTACTTTCCTTGGAGTGGGGAAAATACCACATATTTATGGTTTGCGGCAATTTGTTGCTTCTTAAGGCCTACTTCAGCCATTATTTGGATACCATTATGCATTTATCATTTGCGTAAAAGTCGTTTGTCAGCAAGTGAACTCATCTTCAAACATTTTTTGGTTATTGGGTGAGTGGAGACGAGATAAAAAAGACATTATGAATTTGTAATTTTAACCGCTTTAATTTTTGTTTATAGATTGTTGGTTGGTGCAGTTTGTGTGGCAATAGATACTTACTGGCATGGTAGGATTATCATTACACCGTATGAATTCTTCAAATATAACATTCTTCACAATATTGGCAGTTTTTATGGTTCACATCCATGGTAAATTATATTTTTGTATATAGTTCTTTTGACCTAAATATATTATTATCTATTTGTTTAAGGTATTGGTACTTCACTGTTGGCTTACCAACTGTTTTGGGCATCAATACAATACCATTTATTTTCGGAGTCATTGATACCGTACGTCATAAGAGGAATTATCCTGTACGTAAACAGCTATTTATTATCATTTTGCTGTCGTTAGTTGTATTAAGTACCATCGAGCATAAAGAGTTCCGTTTTGTTGCGTCCTTATTGCCTCTATGTCTTTACATAATTGCTGATACATTAACGCGTTGGAGTTATAATGCGTCCAGGTAAATTTATTTACATATTTTTTTTTAATATTTATTTCGCAGTTATTAAAAATGTTTTATAGGAGCGTTCTTTGGTTTGCTGCGTTGGTTATAGTTGTTGGCAATGCGCTCCCAGCATGGTACTTAAGTATTGTACACCAGAAAGGACCCATAGATGTTATGACACATGTCCAGAAAATTGCCCGTGATTACAGAGATGAAAATGAACATCGTGCCAGTATACTCTTTCTAATGCCTTGCCATTCTACACCATATTATAGGTTTGCTGAAAATACGTTTTTGTAATATTTATTTATTGCATTGTTTTTGTATCTTTTGCTTTATTTCCAGCCACGTCCATGAAAACATTACCATGCGGTTTCTAACTTGTGAGCCTAATATACAAAATACAGCCAATTACGTCGATGAGGCCGACCAATTTTATAGATCACCAGTCCATTGGCTCCACTCACATATACCCTCGTATCCGCGTACTGCTATGCCTTCACATATTGTGCTCTTTGAACCTCTAGCACCGGTCATAAATGAATTTCTAATTAACTACAAAATTTTACATCGTGTCTTTAACGCTGAGGTGAACGAGAATATTCAGCCGCAACATTTACTCGATGAATGGTCAAGCGTACTGAAAGAGGAAGATGTAAACATTGAATCATTACTTAAAAATGTACGCAATCGCATAGGTAAGAATATATTGGTGTATCAACGCCTTCTCGCGGGAGAAGAAAACACCTTCAATAGAGATGACTTCAAGGTACCGCAAAAATCTCAAGTAAAAGACGATACACCTGTTAACATTGATGAAGAATTGAAGCAGCAACACAATATGTTTAATTAAAAAGCTGACACTATGAAAACATTTTAAAAAGTGCAACATGGAAGTACACAATCGTGGGTGCTTCATTGTTCGGTACACTTAGTGCCAACATAAATTTTTGCATATCGATGCAATATAACAGTAAATTTTAATGATGATATTAATTTTGTTTCTAAAAGAAACATTTATATATCAGTTAAGTAGTGCAAAAAGCAGATTTGCTCAAATGTTTATATACAGACGTATATATATATGTAAGTTTTATTTTGTGTTTATTTATTTCTTTGAATATATTACCAACACCTTAAAAAAAACGAAAACATGCAGATGCTATAAATGTTTACAAATCTTGTCAATAATGTGTACATGAGTACGTCTATACAATAATAAGTTTAAACCACCGGTGTACAAATGTATGTACATTTTTGCATGTCCAGAACTGTCATAAGTCTTTTATAATAAAAAAATAGATTAATCTAGGAGTTATTCATAAAACTGGGAATTAAGTTATGAAAATTTTACAATCAAATAGAGATTCTAGGAATTAATACATTTTTAAATAAAGTTTTACTTAAAAAAAAATGTGGTTAATTGTGTAAATTTATTTCTAACATACAGAAATATTTGACATTTTCAAAAAAGTGTTTATCGATCACATTAACGACTGAAACCGTTTTTTAAACAACTGTGGCACAAGGAGTGTAGATATAAGTGTTTGGAGATGTACATTCTGTAACTTTCAGTAGGAATTCAAAGATTAAACTTGCCACAATTACAATTCATTCCTATGACACATTGATTATGTAGTCAGAACTGTAGAGTGACAAACTGTCGTTTTATGATTATTTTCCTCTGTTTTTTTTTTTTACTTATGGCATCTTTTATTTCAATAGTGTAACACTTTTCCCCTTTACTAAATTTTGGAAATAAAGTATAGTTGATATTTATTGGTTTCACTTGTATACGTAATTAAATTGCATTTATTTAACTTATTTTGAACCCATGGTATTTTAAATTTTTTAATATTCGCTTTTATTGCTAAAGCGCGACTTTATACCATTGAAGGGTATAAAAATTCCCTTTTGCATTCAATTAATGAAAAATAACATCTCTGACTATATTTGACTTTACTGCTGTAAGTCGGCACTGATATCACACACGAACGAACGAAAGAAAAATTAATTTGCACAGTCTGATTAATTTTTGCTTTTCTATAGTTTTGAAGAGGTCAACATCTTTATAAAAGATTCGAATTAGAAATGGCAGCTACGGCTAGATCACTACTAAAGCTTCGAGGTAAGAAAATTACTTTTAAAATGGGTATTGCTACAGTGAAAATTATATAACTAGTAACAAGTTGTGTGGACCACATATACTTGGACCCAGATTTGGTTTGATAATAATCAAAAAATATATAGGGCCATATGGTGCTTCTACTAATCGAATGAAAAATATGTTTACATGTTGTAATGTACTTTCATTGACCGTATAAAAAAAGAAAGGAAGAGTAAATTTTTCCATCATTCGGCACTGTGCATAAAAATTATACATACATATAATACACATGTGTATATAAATTTGTGCTAAAACATCTGTTGGCATACTCTTTCACTACTTTTATTTCATAACCTGCTATTACATGCATATACAATATATAGAAATATTGATTTAATTTATTAATTTGAAATAGATAGTATCTCAGTTGGTATACGTTTTGGCTCGGAATATGCCAAGACGCGTGGCAACTTGCAATTAACCGCTGATTCACGCGTTATATGCCAGGGCTTTACCGGTAAACAAGGTACTTTCCACAGCCAACAAGCTTTGGAATATGGTACCAAACTCGTTGGTGGAATCTCTCCCAAGAAAGGCGGCTCTACACATCTTGGTCTGCCAGTATTTGCTTCGGTAACTCATAAGATTATGACTGATGACTATAATGTTAAAAATTTATTTGTTATAGGTAGCTGAAGCGAAAAAGGCAACCGATCCCCACGCAACTGTTATTTATGTGCCACCACCTGGTGCAGCGGCTGCTATTTTGGAAGCTCTAGAAGCTGAAATTCCATTGATCGTTTGTATCACCGAAGGAGTACCCCAGCATGATATGGTGCGCGTAAAACACGCTCTATTGAGGCAAAACAAATCACGTCTTGTTGGTCCCAATTGCCCCGGTATCATTGCACCTGAAAGAGTAAGTCTTCGACGTTCTTAAGTTTTTTACAAAATAAGATATATTATGGTGTATATATATATGTGTATGTGTATAATTTAATGAATTATGAAATTACTTAATGCTGCAATTGCTCCTTTGATAAGACTAGTAGTCACACACATATGTATGTGTACATATATACGTTTAAGCAAGGGTTCAAAGTGCGCACAGATTTAACTTTAGGTGTATACATCTACTACAATGAAATCTAATTAATCAAGAGATTAATAGTAGCGCGCTAATTAACCTACATGCAGCTATTTAACCGAATTTTGCTTTATCTATAAAAATGTCCTGTGAGATAGACACTGGTTTCGCTAATACCTGTAAAATGAAAGCTACAATGTTTTTCTTTTGTTTTAGTGCAAGATTGGCATTATGCCTGGTCATATCCACAAGCGTGGTAAAATCGGTGTTGTTTCGCGCTCAGGTACACTCACTTATGAAGCCGTGAATCAGACTACTGAAGTTGGCCTTGGACAAACATTGTGTGTTGGTATCGGTGGTGATCCGTTCAACGGTACCGACTTCATCGATTGTCTGGAAATATTCTTGAAAGATCCAGACACTAAAGGTATTATTCTAATCGGTGAAATTGGTGGTGTGGCTGAGGAAAAAGCTGCCGAATACCTGACACAATATAACACGGTGAGTTTTCAATATTTTTTTACACTGACATTTTGCTAACAAAATATTTTTCTTTCTAGGGCATTAAAGCGAAGCCGGTCGTATCATTTATTGCCGGTCTGTCTGCTCCACCCGGCCGTCGTATGGGTCACGCTGGTGCAATTATCTCTGGTGGTAAGGGAGGTGCTGGTGACAAGATTAAAGCTCTCGAACAAGCTGGTGTTATTGTAACTAGAAGCCCGGCACAAATGGGCAAGGAATTGTACAAAGAGATGAAACGTCTGGAGTTAGCCTAGAATTTAATGAAAAGCTAGGAAGCAGCAGCATAAGGGAAACGTTCAACAACCGAAATGTTCATTAAGGGGAAGGCACATATTAAATCGATCTATTAAGTAAAAAGTTAAATGTGGAATATGACAACTTGTTCGGTGATAAATGAAAGATAGCTGAAAGTATATAAATTATACGATTACTAAAGCAAATAAAACAAAAATAACAAAACACAAAAACGTACAGTGAAACATTTCCATACCTAACTGCCGAGAATAAAATGCGAAAATTATGAACAAAGAGATCTTCAACACAGTTGCCACAATAATAAATAGTCAAACTAAATTCATAAAATAGTAAATATTACCACCAAAAAAAAAAAGTACTCGGGCTCGAGCCAATATATTTATAATATAAAAAGTAAGCATTATTTCTCTGCACTCTCTTAATGTTTTGCATGAACAAGTAAATACACTAAATATGCACTGAGTTAGGAATATACACAGCACTTTACACTTACATTACTTAAGCGATCGTGCAAAATATTTTTGCCTAGTTCAATACTTTTATTTCAAATGTGAGCTGCATGCAATTAAATTTTATATAATAATAATAACAAAACATAGCATCCTATTTGTCAGCGAAAAAAAACAAAGTTTTTATTAATCTGCATACAATTAATTGCAATTTGAAGAAACAAGCGTAAATAAGAAAAATTAGTGTGCTATTTAACTATCTACAAACTAAAGTGAATAATGTTATAAATGTGCATATGTATGTATGTACTTTAATAAAGAATCAGAAAAACGAAAAAAGTAATTGTTTCTTTAATTTTTTTTAATTCTTTAATATTTTTTTATTATGTAAAATGAAACGGCGCACAGGGTGAGCAAAAAAATAAATATTTAGCGAACATGTAACGAATAAGAAAAATAGCAAGTAGGAATAACTTTCTTATATCCAAAAGTGAGAATTGTTAAAACAAAAGACTTATGCAACAAACCATATTAAATATGTTATACTGGTTCGATCAGTGAACAATGTAATCGAAGAACGCACCATTTCCTTTGACAATATACAAGTAAAATTCTCTGAAGATATCTTGTCAAATAAATTTTTTTTGTCACACAAAAGCTTCATTTTGATCGGTTGTTGCTGTTGTTGTTATAGCGGCAAAAATCTGCCTTGTTGACAGTCCTCGGTCGGACAAAAATGCAGGTGTATGCGTCTGGAACGGATTTTGATCAGTCAGTAAATATGCTATAGTGATCCGATCTTAGCAATTTGTTCGGAGATTACTATACCATTGTCTTGGACAATAATTAATGTAAAATTTCGTTAAGATATCTCATCAAATAATAATGGACCGATATCGGTGAATTTGATCGATATCTAGTAAACTGAGGGACTAGTTCAACGGGCATGTTTTTTATTTTTTTTTTTATTTTAAATCGCCACTCAGAAGTCGTTCTATCGAGCGATAATCGAAGGAAGCATCATTTCTAATATGCCAGAAGGCAAAACTAGAAATGAAGTACCTCACGCTCTCAGATAGAACGATAGAGTACTTTCGAGCCAAAACACTTTCAATTTGCAAAGAAAGTATATTAAGACTGACTACAAAAATAATTTTGCAGTATCGTCTTTTTTTTTGTAAACTGAGGGACTAGTTCAACGGGCATGTCTAAATCGCTGGTCACACTGACCATTCTATACTTTATAGGGTCTTCGAAGTTGCACTTATTACTATACCCTTTTCACCATATAAAAATTGTGTATGCGAATATTAGCTTTATGTAAGCTTCAAAGCTTCAAACAGTATCTATAAATTTAGTTTCAACTGAGCTCAAACTTTTTGAAGCTTTTTTATCAATAGTTTTGCCTGGAACAAAGAATGAGCTATCCATATAATATATATTTATAAAAGAGATGTCCGTTAATTAGCAGCACCATTATCTACAAAGGTATGTGTATCTCAGGCCAAGCAAAGCTTTAAGAAACGCTCTAATCACGTTTCCGCTTGAATTAAATCATAGTACGCCACATTCGAACAACATTATGCACATATATACACATATACATAGATGATTATAAGTGTGGTTATATGAGGCTTTAAAATGCTCGATTTGAATATCAGTTGGCCTCTCAGCGCTCAATAGGTCAAATAAGTTGATGTAAACGTGTTTTGAGTTTGGCCCAAAGTAAGAGACACAGTTGAGTGCGATTGCAAGTACACATACACACACATACACCTGTCTATACCGACGGCTGTGCGCAACATCTGAGCCAAGTTAACCGAATAGTGCTTGGTTAGTTGTGTTACGATCGACGTTGGGCGCTGTTATACTCTGAAATGACCGACGTATGTGGAAAGACGCACGATCGACTTATTTTCAATATATATATATGTATATAATTTAAAAAAATATTAAAAATTAGAATAAAGTTTCAAATGTGATAAAATACTTTAAAAAGAAATCTAATTAATCGAGCAGAGTTAAAAATGGAAAGAATATACATGCAAAATATATAATACAAATAAAATTTTCAAGCCGCGTTAAACGCTCTGCAAATTATTCACGACAAATAGGTAAATGACAAGTTGTTAAAGTGACGTAGAGTATGAATACTTATCTACATAAATACAAGTATGTGAAGTCAGAAGTGATGTGATCGTGAGCTTAAGTGAATTGCACCCACCACATCAGAAATCAAATACTAGCAGATTTATAATTCTACCAAATAAGTACTTGTGTTGGTGTTATTTCATTTATCAAAATGCTCTTAAAAAATGCAAATATACATATATATGTATGTATGTATGAATATATAGTATATTAAAATGGTTTTAAAGCACTTTTATGCAGATACACAAACAACAAATTTAAATATATATCGTACATGCATGTGTTTACTTATTAGGCATATTTTTTGCGTATATATGTATACATATTCAAATATTTTTGTATAAAAAATTAAATTATTCTTAATTGCTTATTTAAGTCGAGTATTTGTTTGAATATGCATTACAAAAAAGTTGTGTTTGTAAGTAGTGATATATACATACATATGTAAAGTCTACGCCGGCGCAGCAGTAATCGTTATTGCCGACCACGATCGGAAAATCCTACATATAATATATTTGTATATACATATGTATATATGTTTGCTTGTATATATGTATGTCTATTTGATCTTCGCGTATAAATTACGTGAGCGTTTGGTATGTGACGTGCAAAAAAGGTGTTCAGCTATTTTCATATGTATGTATGTATATACATATGCATGTACATACATACCATACACATATGTATTTACTATTGTTCTTTTTATTTGGTATGAGTACCCGTAATACCCGTAATATTATAAAAGCGAAACAGCTGTAAGGTCGTAAAAAGACAGTAGAGATGGGCTTGGCAGCGTACTGATTGTTCGTTGAATAATACATACAAGTTTTCGCATTTAGTTAATTATTTAAACGAAAAGCAATTAATTATTTGTGTACTGTAAGTACATACAAGACGTAGCCGAAGAAAATGCGACTTTTCGTACTGAGAGATTTTAAGTGGTTATCATTTATGATTTTCCAAAATTTTATTTAAAAAAATTGATTTTGGACTTTTAATATTAAAATGTGGTGATTTAATTGCTATTTAGAATTTAAAACATATATGTAAATGTTTGGATGATTAATAAGCTCTCTTAAGGGGTAACATGGATTTCCTCAGGTGAAAATCAGTATTTTTTCAAAAAAAATTTTTCCCATTAAAAAATAAAATATTTTATTAAAATTTATTATTGTTACAAACATATACTAATTAACAAAAAAATTCTGAAGTCTTTGTGAGCCTGCGTTGGCAGGATAACTCTTAACAGAATCATATAAAATGAAAAATACGTATTTTTGTTAAAACAATAACTTAGAACTTGGGCTAAGGAAAATAACTGAAAATTGGATTTTTGGCCCACATTTTTAGAAAAAAAATTAAACTTTCGCGTTATTTTTTTTCAAATAGTTGTAATCGAAAAACAATACTTCATCCAAGTCTTTAAGAATTGTATTTCAAAGACCTTTGCAAATTTTCAAGAAGATCGGTTGAGTAGTTCTCAAGAAATCTTGCTAACCGACTTCAAAAACAGTTTCGAGAAAAATGCCTTAAAAGACGTTATAACTCGGATCAACTTGATAATTTAGGACAATATTCTAAAGGTAATAAAAAACAAGATTTTTTGAAACCCATAAACCCATGTAAGCCCTTAATACTTTTATTTAAAAATTCCCTTCTAAGCTGAGTTTCTTTTCTTTCAATAAATCCATGAGTTGATGCGATGTGTGGAAAGTGGCGTCGTCTTGTGGAAACCAAATGTCGCAAAAATCAAATTGTCGGTTGTCATGGCGCGATAACGGTCCCCATTGACGGCTACGTCCTCTCCGGCATATTCAAGAAATATGGACCGATGATTCTACTGACCGACACAAGTCACAAGGTAAAACAAAGTAAACCAATCGCTTTGCCGATCGTTGTGATGTTATTTCAAAGGCGTGAAGTGACTTCAGGGGAAGCTGGCTGCCTGCTGGCAGTGACCAGTGCCAAAGTCACTCTGACTCCCTGTTGTGATAAGATTTGGAAGTCACAATGTGACTTCAGAGGAAGCTGACTCTATATAAGTAAAGCAGCCATCGGGCCTGTCCAGTGCTAAGATGACTCTCACGCCGCGTTGTAGTTTGATTTGTTGAGAGTGAGGTTACTTCATGGGAGTGGTTCTCTATAAGTAAAGCAGGCAATATGCTTAGCTACAGATTAGATGACTCTCATGACACGATGTGTTTTGATTCGAAAATCAAAAGCTAAGCTGAGCGAAACGCGAGCAACACATTTCTTCCAGAGCATCAATTTTCGTAATAAAGTTAAACGATTTATAAACATTGTTCAGGCGTAATTCTTTGAATGGGAAATGCTAAAGTATACTGAATGAAAATAATATGACAGCTTGACAAGACTCACGCTTGATCTGTCAAAAAAAGGTTATGGAAAAAAATACCCCTAATTGGGTCACTCGTTCGAACTAATATAACCACTTTCGAAGTTTGATTTTTATGTCGGAAAAAATTCAAATTATATTCAGCCAGATTTGAAAATATATAAATAACAATTTTAACAAAAATGCAATTCACCTTAAAATACCACAACGAAAATTTAACGATTCAACAACTAAAACAGTTTTCGACAATAAATTATGTTTTGTGTATAACAAATATACTTGCGTTAGTACAAACGTACCTATATACATACATACATACATAATTAAAAGAAATATACAAAATTGGTTTGTTAATTAGAAGAATATACATACATACATATATAATTGCTAGTAATTAGGTGTGCAAAGGTATACATCACTATTTGATGTCATTTGACTATGAGCATGCCTACATATTTACATAAGAATGTATGCGTAAAGCTATTATGTGCATATAGTTGTAAAATAAAAGTGAAAACGGCAAATTAACAAGTTTTACGGCATCATAACACTCGGACCACAACAATGTTGGGCATGTGTAAACAGACACACTAACTATTATATCAGCGGATGTATTTAATTACGAGCTGACTTTTCGCACAAACAAATACCTTTGCAATATGTCTGTAACATGTATGAAAGGTTTGAAGCTGGAAACGAAGTATAAATAGTTTATACTTCTTACTGGCGTAAATATTTGATGTTAGTCGACGCTAATTGTTGAGATATATATTTAAAATGGATCTATGCAGTTATTTGGGTGTCTCATTAGTGAATTTTTCTAATTTTCGTATATTTCTGATAAAAATTAGTTTCGAAAATATTGAAGTGTTATTCAAGTACTAAAATGTTCTGCGAAATCACTGGCATCAAGCCTCCATTTTGCTACATAAAAACCGACCTTTCAATTGCTCTAAGCACACTAGTGGATTCTCAATGATAAGCAGATGTACATACATATGTATGTTGCTTAAGGAAAGCAGCAACTGTGATTGTGATATAAATTAAAAGGATCGCCTTCAAAATATCTGAGCCAATACAAGCATGCCAACGATTAAATCAATTTCCCATATATTGTTATAAGCCTAGGCTGGAATGGCTTTTAGTGCCTTCAGCGAGTTTTGGTTTACCGGTTTTGACTTATTTGCTAGATTTCCGTTTAATCCGTTTAATGAATGCAGAGTCTTCAGTTATGTCGTCTAACCCGCTACTCGACGTCACTTTTGTAAAAGATTTAGGTCTTTTAGTAGGAGTCTAGCATTGACACGCTTCGTTTTCAAAACATTAACCATAATATTGAGTGGATCCATTAGAGATTTCGAGATCATCTGCTATCTCTCTCTGAAGTCAACACGAAGATCTTATCACAAAGCCACTCGAAGCTACCTGAGTAAATGATCACTTCTGTAAAGCAGGCTGCACACCAGAGCAGCAGATCCGCTGCTACGTTAACAGCTGCAACCTCGGCTTGGAAGACACTGCAATAATCAGGAAGTCTGAAACTGGAGTTGTTAGAGGGCTCCCGACTGTTTCATCGTAACAATCGCCAGGCAAACTTTTCTGTCTAATTGACTTACGGAGATTAAACTTCACACAAACATAAGAAAGGTTGTATTCATTCTAGTTGGACCAGTCCGGATCAAGTTGGATCAGATAGAATACATCTTTGTCTAAACTACTGGCTTTTAGCTTACAAGTATTTCGCCGCAATCGACATACATGCGGCGGGGTTAAAAATTCTTTCGAACGTTAATTGACACAGTCGTATGGCGAAAGTGGATACGCCCTTTGAAATATGTATTTCTCCTTTACTATCCAGCCTTGGCTAAACCTAGGTTGAAACATCTCCTAGACAAAACTTCCGCGAACCTAGAAAATTTGTTGGAGCAATATTTTGTAGCTATTTAAGAAATTTTGTGATGGGCTCAAAGTACTTCGGGTTATTAGGATTCTTTGATTTATATCTAGGAATTATTAAACTCTTGGAGAAACAGAGTTCACAGCAGTTGAAGTAAGATCTTCGTGACCTTTGAAGCGAGGATCAACCCCATTACCTAACCTAATCAATTTAGAGGCGTGTGTTTGTATAAGTATTATAGTTATAATTTACGCTTTCTATATTTTCTTTTCAGACTACAACATTGTATATTATCTCAATACTCATAGCACTACCGTATTAATCACAAATCACCATAACAATTTCGAAACAGAAAGTAATGCAGCAGTAATTTACAAAAAATGCCACGAAAACTCTTGAAATTTCTCATAATCTTCGATAATACATCGCTGCTGTATTTCCCTGGGCAATTTCTATCCGGTCGCGTACTTATCGAACTACAAGATGACACACCCGCGTTGGGTCTGCACTTTCACGTTGTCGGCGAAGGTGTAGTACGTGCAGGTACCGCACGGCAAGAGCGTACTTATGACAAAGAGAATTATATTGATTTCCGTATGCGCCTATTGGGCGATGTGGATCAAGGACCCTCAGTGCTCTCGCCTGGCATACACAGTTTTCCATTTAAATTGGGTCTGCCCGTGGGTTTGCCGTCCACGTTTTTAGGACGTTATGGTTGGATACAGTACTACTGCAAGGCGGCCTTGCGTGAACCAAACGGACTGATACACAAAAATCATCAAGTATTCATAGTGATGAATCCGATCGATCTAAATTTGGAGCGTCCGATTCTGTCGGTATGTCATGCAATTGCATAAATTTATTATTTAAATACACAAGTGTTATATATTTTCATTTCAGCAACCATTTACTTGTGAGATCGAGCACAAACTTGGCGTGGCCTGTGTGGGCGGCGGCAAAGTTGTTGCGCGAGTGGCACTCGATCGTGGCGGCTATGTGCCGGGGGAGAGCATATTGATTACCGCATACATTTCGAATCACAGTAATGTGACGATTAAGCGAACCAAGGCCTCACTCACCGAGGTGCGATTGATTGATAGTTGTTATAAAGAATTTTTATATAAAATATTTTAACTTATTCCACACAGACCATTGAATACTTGGCGCGCGGGAAAGTAGTGCAAACGGAGAAACGCGCATTGGCCACATTGGCGCGTGGCAAAATTCGTCCGGGCGGTAAGGATGAATGGCAAAACGATAGTTTGTATGTACCACCGTTGCCGCCGACAAATCTGCATGGCTGTCATTTGATAAAAATCTCCTATGATGTGTTTTTCGTAATCGAGCCGAAATCTTTAGAGAAAGAAATTAAATTGCAACTGCCCATAGTGTTAGCTACATATCCATTTCGCAATAACGGCAATGATGTCTCAAACACCTGGCCAGATTCTGTGCTAAAACCGGATACACATTACCCGTCAACGTTGCCTATCTTTCGTCCGTGGTTGCATGAGAAACCCGAACCCAATTGAGCATAAGGAGATGGATTTACACTACGTATGTACATATGTGAGAGGGACATACATACATACGGACATATATTCTTAAGAAACAAGCGAGCAGTGATTACATTAAAAGAAAATCATTTAAATAATTAGCGAAATAAAATTCGTTTATTTTCTGTATATTTTAGGGTTATCTGTTATTTCTAAAGAAGTCTTTTCTTGTCCACGCCCCCTAAAGTTTCAGTTTTCGTTTCTAAAAAACCTTATTTAACGTAAACCAGCTCTTTATTTTCAATTTAAACCTCTGTATTAACTATTTTTCCCATACAATGTTTTTTTTTGATATTTGGTATTAAGAAATTAAATTTACGAATTTGAAATTCTACTATAAAATTTTCTGATCTACAAAAAAGCTCTGAATAAATATTTTATAAAACCACCCTTTAAAAGTTATAAGGAGTTATACATCAAGTACATTGAAGCTCAGTAATTCGGTAAATGAGCATTCATACAAGTATACCATAGTGCACCATGTCGTATGAGCAACACAGAATTCATAAGAATGACATATGATTTGATGCATAACTTTAACTTCGTGTAAATAACTCTTTATGAATGTTTTTTAATAAAATGGAAAAGTGTGTTAATGCTATATATATTTATATAATATTATTTAATATTTTTTCAATGTTTATACATATTTTTTTAGAGAAAAAAGATTAATTGCAAACGTTCAAAAATCACACATAAAATATATAGGAAATATAAAATGCTTTAGGCACGGTTTAAATCGAAAATAAAGAGCCTGTTTATGTTGGAGCCTTTTTTAAGAACTAAAAACTGAAACTTGAGGCGGCATTTGCAAAAAAAAAAAACAATTAACTTAGGAAATAACAGACACCCTAATGTATTTACACACTATTTGTTCTTTACTTACTTGCAAAAACAATAAGTTTTTTAATACTTACCCCAACTTGTTATGTGCCTAAATAAAAATGTTATATTATTTGCGCACACAAATGTATATAAACTTAAAAATTTTAACCTATAATTTGAAAAATTTAATACTTTTTAATTTGATTTGATACTTCAAAGCCTAGCTTTCCCAACTATGTTATTCGAATTTTGAATTTCACTTTGGGCATCAAAATTTGTATAAAAAATACTGCATTTGAAAATCCACCCAGTAACATATGTTTATTTCCCTAAATCGCATTTATCCTTTAAATTTGTTTATTTTGGATATGAGTCTCGAAGATTTCGCTGACAGCCATAATAATTTAGCTACTACACATATACATATTTGTATTTAGTGAGTAAACATATTAATTTTACTTATTTGCATCGTATTTAACAAGTAAGTCAAAAATATGTTTTTATGTATATTTAACTAATTTAAGACGAAGCAATAAATATTACTTATAACTGACATTTTGGTTTTTCCCACTTACTATGTCTATCTTTTTAAACACCGTTGGCCGATAAAAACTAAAGAACATTAAACTCAGTTGGACCGAAGTCACAGCCTAGACAGATACAAAAAATTGCTAACAAGAACTTGATTCTGATTGTTCAGTTTGTATGATAGCTATATATATGCTATAGTTGTCTGATCTGATTAATTTCTTCGGAGAAGATTGCAATATTACTTTAGGTATGACTCACGTCAAATTTCGTGGAGATATCTCGTCAAATGAAAAAGTTTTCCATATAAGCACTTGAATCCGATCGTTCAGTTTGTATGGCAGCTGTATGTTATAGTGGTCCGATATCAGAGGTTCCGACAAATTAGCAGCTTCTTGGTGAAAGATGGACTTACGCAAAATTTCAGATCAATATCTTAAAAACTGAATGACTAGTCCGCGTATACACTGACAGACAGATTTATCGGCATGGTTTAACCGACTCAGCTCGTAAAGATAATCATTTACATACATTTTATAAAGTTTAAGACGTTTCCTTTTGGATGTTACGAGCCTGTTAAGGGTATAAATATCTTTATTTTGAATTGATCGGTCAGATTGAATGACAGCTACATACGAGTATATGCTATAGTAGAATAAGTTGTTGGGAGATTGTAGTGGTGTTGCTTCGAACAATAATTCATGCAAAATTTTGAGAAGGTATCACGTCAAATAAAAAAAAAATTACATACAAAAACCAAGAAACGAGCTGTTTCGACGGATTCGGACCATACGGAGAGTGAAGTTGGTTTCATAGGGCATGCAAAGAGGTGATTAGTGTATTGTGGTTATTGCATGCAGGACATAGCTTTTGTATGGCGGAGTGTCTTCTGAATAAGTAGGAGTTTAACCCGCCACCCAGATTGAAGTTGCGCCAGGCTCACTCTTGTTTCACGCGGCAACTTGTGCTCTTGTTCTGCAACCGGTGGAGTTTTGACTTCAAGTACGCCATTCACTGGTAGGGAGTCAATGAAGGTACTAATAGCCCCACTGTGAATGGCGTTCAGCGCCTATCAGAAACTGGTCGCGTCCGAAGTTTAATCGGCATATTGTTCCAATTCATTGACGTATTAAGGTATGATGTTCTTAGAAAGCGACACTGTCAAGCATGTGATTGTAGAGATGGTTTCAAAAACACCAAGCAAAAACAGTTTGGAAAGAGGTATGATATGGTACTTTACAGGGAGCATACGGATCCCACTAGGTAGCTGCAATAGAGGTGAGATCAAGGGACATTCTGCTATAGTTCGGACCTCGGTCTTTTGACAGGCCTGTATTTTCTCCACCTACGTCCTGCTTCATCCAGGCTGCCAACAATGTCTCTTTGTATTTGCTCGAAGTGCTGCCTGCTAGCGACTTGCTGTGGCAATTGTGGCTTTTGAATGTGACATCTAAAATTTTAGAGATGTTTACCATCGGAATTTAGACATCATCGACGGAAACGTTGAGCTTTATGCTCTTTTGCGGTGAAAACGCTTACGCTTTTTTGCACATGCCATCAATTTCATTGCCCGACGTCATTATCAGTAAACCTGGGTATAAGGTAATAGACTCTTCTTCTGAGGGATACCCTGCAGTAACCACTGTTTAATTTTTTTCATTTAAATTGTTCACTTTGAAATAATATCGAAGATTGTCGACCATTCAGTTAGTTCATGGTCCACTTCTTCAACCCTGCAAGGAGTGTAGTTTGTTGGATGTCCTCAAACAAGTTTGTATGGTTGACTACATTAAAAGCTTATGACAAGTCCAATGCTACGAGTACAGCCCTCACATAGGGCGGTTTATAGTTAAGGCCACGAGCTATATGGGCGTTTATGAAGCTAAGTACTGTGCACTTTACGGAATCTGCGCTGGTATTCAGCAAGGCACTAAATTTTTTCAGTTGGTACAGTTTGTGGAAATCTTCTACGGATCATTTTAAACAACTTTGCTTAAGAAAATACGGCCTGTGATTTTTAAGGCGAGAATTAGCTTTAGGAGTTGGGTTTACTTAATCATAACGGACCCGGATTTTTTATCCGGTCAAGGGCTGTCAACTCGACAGAATTCAAGATTCAAGATTCAGAATGAACCACAACAACAGTGTTAACAATTACTCAAGACCAGATGACAAATAAAAGTTTCAATGTTTACCTTCCATGAGAATTGATAAGTTATTCCTTTATTCTTTGATATAAAAGACTAGATTTAATGTAAAAATTTGCTAAAGCATATTTTTTAGAAAATTTGTTAATTTCCACTGCACATTGAAGAAAAACTCTCCTAAATCGAAGCGGTTAAATAATAATGCCTGTGTGCTTGGATAACGGCGATGGTTTTTTCCAGTGCGCTGAATTACACATCCCTTAAAAGAATTCAGACGAACGTCAATCTCGCCCTCTTCAAGCTAAAAGCAATGATTTAGACGTACATATAAAAGTATTTGGTGACAGTTTCAATAATTATATGCTTACCTCATCGAATCCGTAAATATCCTGGTAGCAGGTATACGAAATACAACGCCGCACACATGATTTCTTCATAACAGCTTCCAAATTTTCGCATAGGGTGTTCCGTTCGCATGCTGTCTCAAATTCGTGATATAGAATTTCCTATACATGTAATATATTTAAACCATTTTAATAATTTATACCAGAAGTGAACTTCGTAAAATCAATAATCACACATTTTTGCTAGTTTCCTTGTAAGCATACTCAGGAAAGTGAAATGTGGCTGCCTTTGGCAACGTCTGACCACCAGCACCTTTTTCTTCGTAGATACTCGATGTAGACACACCAAAATTCACTACAGTTATTATCAAATTAACCAATATCCGTGACAACTCCATCGCATATTCGTTTACTGTGCCTACAAAAATATATACACACAAATAAACTTGTAAATATTCAGCGCCTGTCATTTAATGAGGGTTGAATAACCTTTCAAGTATATAATACAGACAAATATTAAACATAGCTTTAAAAATTAAATTTTTATTCATAATTACGTATGTATAATAGTTATATCAAACAATATATCACTGGCAATAACCGCCTAATTACACCCTAAACCTAGTCCTTCCGACTCAATTAAATTCTTCCTTGATGCTTCAAGTATTTTTTGATTTTAAAACTCTCTCCGGTTTCTAAAAAAAAATATATATGTATTATATTTTATAATACACATTGTTTATTTACAGACAGCATTTATGATTTTTCTTGTAAATATTGTCGCGCCTCTTCAACCTAAAATAAAGCAATTTATTTATTGAAATATTGTGCAAATGTATAAATTTTACCGTTTTGAACCACGCGGATCCAGTTTTGAACATCATCCTATGTATAAAGGACATCGTGGATCGAGGAGCTATTCCATGCATATGCAGGTGTTTTACGGTAATGAAAGGCGGCAGGTGAAAACCAAATAAAGCATCTGTTGTGCTGATATTATTCTTTTCAAAAAACGACTTTAGACCTTGTTCCATGCTGTCCACTAAAATTGAACGCAAAAAGTTAATTAATAATTAATATAGCCTTGTGCCTTTCCAATCTTATGGAAAATCGGGAAAATTGTTGCATGCTAAATGTTTACATTTTTAGGGGATGAACGCATTTGACCGTAAGTACTGCAAATTCCATCTTACCCAATCCTATATCATTCTTTGTCAATGATTTCAAACTCTCTATGTGCCGCTTTGGTACAGCCAAGTAATGGTAAGTTGATGATGGCTTTATGTCTTTGAATATGACAAAATCTTCATTTTCAAAATCAATCACAGTATTTGGTTGTTTTCCCGCAGAAATCTCACAAAATATACAGTGCCCCATATTCGAGGAACCAGTTATTATTAATCGTAGAAATGGTAGAAATGCCAGCACACAGAGACCCAGCAAAATTATGTATTTTTTGGCATTCAGTTGTTTTTGAGGCAACATCTGTGGAATATGTCTAAAAAAATTTTTTAAATGATAACAAATGATAAAAATTTTACGCAGTGCGCAGGACGATAAATTTAACTGCGAAGATTTTGCCTACCTACCAACTGCTTGAATTTTTTTCTGTAAGAATGTGTAAATTTTTAACAATTTAAAGTAATGTTGCTCACACTAGACAAATTAATTATGCAAAATCGTGAATACATAAACAAATATGTAGCTTCAATCAAAATTGCAAACGCATATATGATTTGTTGGCAAGTGGCAAGTTAGTATATTTTGTAGAATCAGCTGTTGTGCTGTCAAATTGATTGTGTCACCGCAAAGCAAAGTGTACGATGATCAAGCGAAAGGAGGAGTCAACAAACTATATTAAATAAGTGAATGTGGGGGTGCAAATTTAATTGATAACGAAAAAAAGAAAAGTTAACTTCATTAACTAACTTAAAAGTGGAAGCAAAATTTTGTGTATATTAGTTTGAAAGTGAAATAGCATGAACGAACTGAAAGCACCGTCTCTTCAATCGCTCTTGGAATCGGATCGTGGATCTAGTGACAGTTTGCTTGCTGAATCGCTGCTTGATGTGGACGATGTAAATAAATAGCTAATCATTTATATATGCATATGTGATACATATATATTTTGTATAATTTTCAGTTGGATGATGTGGAATATTCAATTCCACCAAGTGGTGAATTGCCGACCTTAGAGTCGGCATTAAGTGAATTTGAAGCAGATTCGGACATAGGTTCAGAATTGGGCGTACCAGCACCAGCACCTACACCAACGCCCTCATTAGCAGAAGAGGGTGGAGTACGCAATGGTGGTGCAGGCGGAGGCGGCTCCATAATGCGTTATGCCATGATGTATGGTGTATCTGCACAAATTGCGTCAGCTGCTGTAAATATTACAAATGTTTTATGCAGTTTCTTAATTTATTTATCTTTTTATTAATGGAACCTTCAGGATCGGGTAAATGCTGGTTTTGCAACAGCGTGCGCTGTGTCAACCTTAATCGGTATTGGTACCTCACATGGTCACATTCTCAATTTCGACATAACACAGACACTACGTTGGGCACATCAGGACAAACACGGACAAGGTGCTGTGTCTGCATTGTCCTACAATCCGGACTGTACACGTCTATTAGCTGGTTATGCACGTGGACTAGTTGTAATGATTGACACACAATCCGGCGACGTTTTACGCAATCTATTTGACGCGATTACTCCAAATACTGGAGTTCTGCATTTAAAATGGACCTCAAGACCGGCCCTTGCGCTCTGCTCCGATTCAGGAGGTTCTGTATGGTCCTTGAGCTTCACAAGAAAGTTGGGCATTCGTGGTTGCTCGTCACGCTGTCTTTTCAGTGGAGCACGTGGAGAAGTTTGTACCATAGAACCATTATTAATAGATAGTTCGCATGAATTAGATCAATATTGCATTATTGCACTCGCCACTTTATCCAAATATTTTATTGTAACTATACGTCCACGTCTTAAAGTGATTAAGTATCATGCACTTCAGGGGCCGGCTGATTGTTTACCCATACTAGCATGGCAAATGGTTCTAATTCAAGCAGCAGATGCTACACGTTCTTTTGATCCAGTTCTTGTAGTAGGGCGCGGCAATCAGTTGTTTTTTCATCAACTTTTTATGACAAATGGGCGTATTTCTTTACTGTACTTGCGGCATGTGCAAATGCAGACAAATTTACTATCGGTTCACTGGTTAGGACCAAAGTGTGTCGCATGCATGGATATATCGGAAATACTACATCTAATAGATGTACGTTCCAGCAAAGAACTGGAATGTATTGATATGGCTAATGCAGGATTAGTATATGGTTCAGCGCAATTCAAAGGCCTTGCGACCGGAGGTAATGTGTCACCTGCTTTAGCTTTGGCCGGCACACATGCGTGTTACAACTCCCTAATGTCGCGTGGCACACAATTGTACATTTTGGGTGCACGATCCTTGCATATGATAGCTGTACGTACATGGACAGAGCGCATTAGCTACTTGGTAAGAATAATTTTACATTTACAATTATTTTAAGTTAAGTTATTAAAAGTTCTCCATATTTATATAAAGGTGAAAAATCAAAGATGGCAAGAAGCATGTGATCTTGCGCTAGATGGTTATCGTGCCACAGCGGAGCGTCCCAGACGTAAAGCACAAGCAAAAGAGCGTATTATAATGCTTTTCAAAGAGTATTTGGCTGCATCGGCTAGAGCGCCTGATTACTGTCTGGGGCCTATTGTGAAGTGTCTGATCACAATAGGTGAACTGGAATTGCTTTGGACGCAATTGTGGGAGCGCTTAGAAAACAAAAGCCTTTATCTACAACATATCACCGAGCACATAGAAAACGATAATATTCACCGTGTCAGCCCAGCAATTTCACAAGCATTAGTAGAACATTGGCTAGAAATATCACCAACAAAATTAGAAGAAATTATACTTAAACTTGACTGGACTTGCCTTGATTTAAACCAAGTGCTGAAGGCAGCCAAACGTTATAAGCTTTATCGCGCACAAATCTACCTCAATACACATGCACTTAACGACTACTCCAGTCCGCTTACGGAATTGATACCTTTAGTAGCGCAAGAACCATCAGGTCTAGGGAACGCGCTACTCGTGTACATATCAAGTTGCCTGGCGGGACGTAGTTATCCAAGTGGTGAAATACCCAACGATTTGGTTCAAAATGTCAAACACGAGGTCCTACGCTGCTTAACTTCGCTACATTCAAATACTAGTGTACCGAACGAATTGCCATATCCTTACTTGCGTGCGCTACTCAAATTCGATACTAGAGAAACCTTAAATGTGATTTCGTTAGCTTTTCAAGAGAAGGAATTTAATGGTGAACTCGGCTTCTCTCATCGCAAACGTATAATAAACATACTTTTAGAAATAATGACTCCTGAAAACACAACGGTAAGATAATATTTTATATATTTTATTACCCTGAAGAGGGTATATTAAGTTAGCCACCTAGTAGGAAACGTCGGAGAAACTATAAAATACGCGAACTAAATCCTCAATTTTACATATATCATATGCAATACAAATATTATAGAATATATTTTATATTTTCATTAATAAATAGTGGGCGGAGATCGGTTGCCTTCTGAATTTCATCGCCCAGCAAATATCCCAACAATGTTTAAAACCTGACTCTCAGCTGTTGGAGAAAGTGCTAAATCACTTGGCGAAAGAAAAAATAACTAACGAAACTACACGACAACATTCTGAACGCGAAAGTGCATGGCATGAACTGCTCATCAACAATTGCCTAGACGAAATTAGTACGGATGAGGAGCAGTTGCGTCTGGCGAAACGCGCACACTGCTACTATGTGGAAGAATACCTACTAGAGAAGCTGCAGCGTTACGATGATATTATTGAGTGTTATCTAAATAATGATCAACGCCACGACACCATGTTCAGCTATATGGAGCGGCATGTTCAACAACCAGAGCGTAAAATTTACGAACAAATAGAAAAACACTTCAAACGTATGCTGGAAATAAACGCCAAGGAAACAACGCGCTTAGTAGATTTCCACTTTAGTGCGAAAATTAACAAATTACTCGAAGTGGTGCAAGAAGATGAGCAATCATTATTAACTTTTCTAGAGCATTTACATAGACGACGATTTGTTTTAACTGCCACGCAGAGTGCACAATTGCTAGCACTTTTATGTAAGTTTAAACCAGAAGAAGTCGATGAATTTGTGCGTCAATGCGACGAGTATCATGTAGAAGACGCGCTAAGCTTAGTTTTAGCGTATAAACTGAACAAATCAGCAATATATCTATATGAAAAGCAAGGCAACTTTCACAATGCATTCGAGTTGTCCGTAGAATTATTGGCTACATTACATGATGAAGCGGCGGCTACTTTTGCCCAAGAAATAAGCGACTTGTGTGTACGTGCCACAAATGTGCTTCCAAAAACGGATTACGAACAGTTTTGGTTTACGCTCCTACAGCAAATATTGCCGCGTGATGACCTCAAATCCAGCACGAAGCATATGTTACATTTATCGTCGCAGTATGTCGACTTGCCAAAACTGGTACAACTTGTGATGAATACCCGTAATGTATCGGGAAATTTCGGTGATATTAAAGACTTGCTAATGAGTATGCTGTCACAATCTCGTCTCGAGACAGATACCATGGAGAAAACGCTGCAAGTCAAGTGTCAAGATCTAGCAAACGCCTTTTCACGTAAACGTTCGGAGGCTAAGCGCGGTCTTCTAGTGTCGGCAATGCGTTGTGCCATTTGTCAACAACGTTTATATAACCAAAGTGATATACTTGTCCTAGGCGGCTGTGGACATGCTGTCCATGACCAATGTGCAGCAACATATAATGAAACAGTGCAATTGCGCCTGAATAACGGTGATATTTCGCAAACGATGCAAGCGGAGAAAGATGCATATAACGGTATTCATGTTGCATGTCCGCATTGCTCAGCGGAAATGAGAAACAATTTTTACAATAATGTAATTAAATTATCGGAACCTAAGCGTACAGTGTTTGCGCTATGTGATGCGACTTTTAATATACAACAAGAACAACAAAATGTAAATCAAATGGGTGTATTGAAATTAAAAGCGCCTCCACGAAAGTTTACTTGCAATTAAGAATAATGAAAGTTAAATATGGCATTTTGCATTCCTTCGTTTAAACATCTCATAAATAACTGTGTATTTCATTTGCTATTATTTGTTTTTGTAAAGAAAAATGTGTCATCTATGATTACTGAATCACTTTCAATGCTACAAATTATTGAAAGTCAGCTGGGAAATTTCGATAAAAAAATAAATATAAAAATTATCAAACTTTTTTTTATACATATGTATACATGCCGGAGATTTTGCTGTTACAAACAAAAACCAAACAACACAAAATTAATTCAACAAATGTTCCATACATAAACTTATACACTGTATTTCAACGAAATAAAAATAAAAATTATTTTAACTAATGATACTAGGTAATTCCCATATATTGATGCTAACATACTTATACATAAAAAATATTTATAGTAATTAATTTATGCTTTCTGCACAATTTAAACGGCTTATAATATATTTTCGAGAAAGTGATTCAGTATTTTCAATTGATTTAATTAAAAAAAAAAGAGTTCCTTCAAGTTAGATAACACAATCATGGCAGTTTGTTATTCAGTTGAT